CGTCCGTTTAACACGGGTATTATGTAGGCCCCGTCGCCTAACAGGAGAAGGTCTCCAACCTTGCAGCACCAGGCTCCGTCCACCTATCACGTGAATTTTTGCGCTAGGACTTCGCCGTCCTACATGGATTTTTTACCTGTTAGAGTCTAGAATTTACAGGTTTTTTTTGTGCGTGCAATAACCCTCAATCTCTTGCCGTTTTTACATAAATAGATAAAAAGTAAAGATAAAAACATTAAAAACATCGAAAACATCAAAAAGCCGCACTCTAACCCTAATTTAGCCATAAGTAACTCTAAACAGGTGGGTTTTAAGTTGAGATTTAAAGGTTAAATATAATAATTTAGCAAAAATAAACTAGTCTGGCTCCCCTCAGTCTAATAATGACTCTCACTTTCTCTGCCTCCATGTTGTTCAGACACCGGTTCCATGGTGAGGAGGATCTGTGCCCTCTAACTAACAAATTATGGGCAAGAATATTTTTATTCACAAACTAAATACACTGGTTTGTGAATAAAAATTTAGGTCTGATGATGACTTTAGGAAAACTGTTTCTATTTATATTTTCGTAATTGTCTTCACAATAACGGGGAAAAAACTTGTCTCGCCCCTAAACACAGAAATGCTTCAGCTGCAGAGAAAACTTCTGATTTTAACATAATCAGGCTTTTAAATGCCGATACTGCAACTGTCACCACGAGTCGCGACACACCTCCAAGCCCCGGTACCACCTGCTCTCTGTTCCCTCTGCTTCTCTTTAACGTTACTACCAGGCGAGTTAAAACTACTGCTGACGGGATTTGGGCTGGAGGTGAGCAGCTGTAAATAGAAGTTATTGCAGAACCTCAAGTTTAAAGGAAGATTCGGCCCATACCAATTGGAGTTCACAAAACAAACATCAGCAAAAAATTACTGTAGCAATAATTATAACCGCAGCATAAAGCCAAACATGCCACAATTAATTGAATTAAAATGTCCCCAAAGCATCCGCAGACTGGCATAGGGGCCACTGGGGGATTCCAGGCCGATTCAGAGATGCGCATTGCAGCGGCTGTTCATGCAGGGCCGGCCCAAGGTAAATGGGGCCTTAGACAGAACCCCCCTTTCCCCGAAATCCGTCCTACTAAGAACCTCAGCATCACTAACAGTGTTTAAATATAGATAAGGTGAAGTCTGTGAGAGGGAGACCAGGTTTATTGGCCAAGTTTAAAATCAATCACTGATTATTGGTTATTTGCTGTGATGTATTTGTGAACAAACCCAGCTCAAACACAAAGATTACACCATATTATAGCCATGATAACACACTATCAAACTATCAAGTTGATTCTTTAAACTTTTACAAAGTAAACTTCCTAATTAAATCCTAAATGTATTTTTTTCTCTCAGATAAATGCATTAAATAACATTTAATAACATTGTCATTCTCTATAAATGAATGCTACAGCTTTAGATCTATGGTCTGTGTTACAATTCAACCATTTCTAGGGGCCCCTGGATGTCTGGAGGGGCCCCTGAATGGCCCCTACCAGCAGCTACTAAGTTTTCTTTGCCTTGATATCCCAGTCTTACAATTCTAGATCTCAGAGGTGTTGTCAAAAAATTATATAGAGTTAACTCCTTTGAGCTTGTTTGATCTATAAAGCAGTCTGCAGCCAAGTTGTTGGAGAGGTTAAATAGATATTAGTAGGGCTTGATTAGTAAAATGGCGGCAAATTTGCTTATTTCATAACTTCAAAACCGGCGACCTTCTCTCTGATGTTCTGTTTAACAGCTACAGTCTCAGATCAACTCAGCCCTCCAGGACTGTCAAGAGCAGAAACGGCAACTTTATACCTTATAGTCCGGAAAATACTACTGTATTTTCCGGACTATAAGGCGCACCGGATTATAAGACGCATGCTAAAACATACGGTCAACAAAAAAAAAAGGTAACGGAAACAAAACAGTAAGTTTAGTTTAACTTTATTCGACTATGTAACAATACACTCACGATATTTTTTATTCTTCTTCCACAAATCCATAAAAGTCCTCGTCTTCTGTATCTGAATTGATCAGCTGGGCAATTTCGCCATCAAACATGCCAGGTTCCCTCTCATCATTGTCAGAGTCAGACTCGTTGCCAGGTGGCTGTTCAGCAATGATGCCGGCTTCCGCGAAAGTTCGGACAATAGTTAAAGCAGATACATTAGCCCAGGCATCCACAATCCATTCACACATGGTGGCGTAACTCGCCCAGCGCTGCCTCCCCGTCTTAGAAAACGTGCGTTCGCAGTCTGTCGTCCATCACTCCCACGCCGATCGCAACTTCTTTTTGAACGCCCTGTTTACACCAATGTCCAGCGGTTGGAGTTCTTTTGTTAATCCTCCTGGAATGACGGCAAACTCCGAATTAGTTTGCTTCACTTCCTTTTTCACAGTAGCAGTGAGATGGGTGCACATGGAGTCGCAGATGACTCCATGTGCACCCATGGAGTCATCTCCATGACTCCATGGACTACACTATCTGGACTACACTATCTGGATTTTACAGAGGTGTATGCTGCAGAACTCGGACAACAAGTCTCTGATTGGTTTATTGCTGCTGGTGTACATACTTACGTCCTCTGATTGGTTTATTGCTGCCAGCGCCTCCATCATCACAAAGGACTCAGCAGTCTGGGATGTGAAGATGCAGATCCTCTGTCATCACCAAGGGCACAGCAGTCTTCAAAACTCCACTGCTCCACAACACACATACACTTCCAGGTGTTGAGTC